CACGGAGACTGCCCCCGGGCGGCCTGGGGGTCCCTGGGTGCCGTGCCCCCCACGTGCCTACCTGCCGGGCGCTGACAGAGCCTCTGCTCTCCCCTCAGCATCCTCCTGGACGAAGAGGGCCACATCAAGGTCACAGGTGAGTGAGGGCCTCCCCCGGCCCTGAGAATCTCCCGCCGCGGGAGGTGGAGAAGAGAGGATGTTTCTATCTCTCTCTCCCTCCTCTCTCCTCCTCCTCCCTGCCCTCTCCTCCCTCCTCCCTCCTATTCCCTCCTCGCTCCTTCCTCCTCTTCCCTCCTCCCTCCTTTCCCTCCCAGCAAACCCCGCCTGCTGTCTGGTCAGTGGCCCCGTGCTGTCAGGCCCTCTGCTGGCCCGTGTGGGCTGTTAGAAATCAGGTCTCCTGGGGACTTCATGGTGGTCACTAAGAAGTACAATTTCTTTTTAGAAATATATATATTTTATTGATTTCAGAGAGAGGAAGGGAGAGGGAGAGAGAGAAACATCAATGAAGAGAGAGAATCACTGATCGGCTGCCTCCTGCACGCCCCACACTGGGGATTGAGCCTGCACCCTGGGCATGTGCCCTTGACCGGAATTGAAGGTCGACGCTCAACCACTGAGCCACGCTGGCCGGCAGAAGTACAATTTCTTGACACGTTCCAGGGCTCCTGAATCTGTGGCTTCTGAAGACGGTTGCCCGGGGAGCGCCTGTGGGTGGGCGGCGCTGGCGTCCGCGGGGGTTGAGTCGGGCAGACAGAGTGGGTGGCCGGGATGCCCAGTGGGCAGAATTCACAGAAATGCCACGGAAGCCTCGGCTGGGCCTCCGAGACTGAGAAGGGCCGCGGCTGTTTCCCTAGACTTCGGGCTGAGCAAGGAGGCCATCGACCACGACACGCGCGCCTACTCGTTCTGCGGGACCATCGAGTACATGGCGCCCGAGGTGGTGAACCGGCGGGGCCACACGCAGAGCGCTGACTGGTGGTCCTTCGGCGTGCTCATGGTGAGGGCGGGTGCTCATGGTGAGGGCGGGTGCTTGTGGTGAGGGCTGTGTGCTCGTGGTGAGGGCGGGGAGCTCATGGTGAGGGCGGGGTGCTCGTGGTGAGGGCTGTGTGCTCATGGTGAGGGCGGTGCTCATGGTGAGGGCTGTGTGCTCATGGTGAGGGCGGTGCTCATGGTGAGGGCTGTGTGCTCATGGTGAGGGCGGGTGCTCATGGTGAGGGCGGGTGCTCATGATGAGGGCAGGGTGCTCATGGTGAGGGCAGGTGCTCATGGTGAGGGCTGTGTGCTTGTGGTGAGGGCGGGTGCTCATGGTGAGGGCTGTATGCTCGTGGTGAGGGCCTGTCCCCTCCCCGGGACAGCACGGCCCTTCCAGAACCTTCTCTGCGGGTCTGAGCGCCTCCCTGCTCTGTCTCTGCAGTTCGAGATGCTCACGGGGTCCCTGCCGTTCCAGGGCAAGGACCGGAAGGAGACCATGGGCCTCATCCTCAAGTGAGTAGGAGCCGCCCCCGTGGCTGCACCCCGTCAGCTCCTCCTCGCACCGGGGTCCTCGGGCCTCAGCACCAGGGGCCTTAGCAGGCGTTGGCGGCGATGCCACGGGGGATACAGGGCGGCCACCCTGAGGGGCCCCGAGGGACCGTCCACCCACAGGCTCTCCGCCAGGAAGGGTGCTGCAGGGTGTCCAGTGGCCGGGCCTGGGGATGTGATGATTGACGGGGTCAGAGGGCGAGGCTTGGGCTCAGAGACCACGGAGGGGTCCCCTTCCTCTCACCTGTGGGCAGGTGCACACGTTCCTCCCTCCTCGTCCCGGGGGCTCGTTCACCACACGGAGGGGTTTGCCCTTAGAATCCCCACAGACTCTAACCCAGGGCCACTGCCCTGCATGGCATCGTCCACCCGCCCCGGGTCCGTGTGGGCAGGACGTGGGCCGAGCTCCTAGGGGGGGGCCGAGGGCGGGGCTGGGAGTGGGGACCCCGTCAGTGTCAGGGAGGGGCTCGCTGTGAGTGAAGGGGGGCCCCCAAGGCTGCTGTCCTCACAGCGCCTCGCTCAGCCCTGCGAGGGGACACGTGGCTGTTACAGAAGCCGGAGCCCCTGAGGCTGCGGTGTTTGTGGGTGACGTGCCCAATGGAGAGGGGGGCCGTGGAGGAGGCCCCGCGAGAGGAGTTCCCAGGCTCCCAGCGTGGACGACACTCTGGCTTTGGGGTGATCGCCTCAGTTCCTTTAAGGTTGAAGGGGGAATGGACCTGCACTTGCTCTAAAGCTACACTAGTTCCTCGGCAAAGCCGAGGGGGGAGGTGGGCATGTGACCCATGGTGGGGGGGAGGCCGGCATTTCTGGGGGACAGCTCCCAGCTGGGGTCCCGCCTTCCCCAGGGGCCTGAGGCCCCCACCTGGGCGTGCGAGGCCCTCCTCCCCCAGACCCCCAGGACGAGACCCCAAAGGAGAACGTCGGTGCCAAAAGCCCCCTGTGCTGCTTGGGAATCACAGTTACTCCCAGGGGAAGTCACAGACGCTCACGGTGCTGGGTTCTTGGCGGCTTCACTATTGTTCAACGAAGCGATGACATAGCTGCCGCGACGCTTCCCAGTTCTAATGTCTAATGTGCTCGGCATCACCGTGCAGCCCACGTGAACAGGACTCGCCGACTTACAACGCGGAAGGGCCTGAGGCCCGGGTCAGGGCACGGCTGCCGGTCACGGAGGTGACTGGTCTGTTAGTGC